ACCGTGGAGGAGCAGACCTAAGAACAACACTCACAAACAGCTCCGGCCCCAGACTCATATCATACTCAGCTTAAAGCTGGACTTTCTCCCACCTTATTGTAACACTTAACACTCTTCTTAAAATATTAAATTTATGCCAAGCTTGTGACCATACTAAAACACGACTCCCTGTCACACTCGTAGCCGACCTAGCCCTACAACTCTCACACTCAGTCCTAGGTCACACTCACCCTGTCCTAGGTCACACTCACCCTGTCCTAGGTCACACTCACCCTGTCCTAGGTCACACTCACCCTGTCCTAGGTCACACTAACCCTGTCCTAGGTCACACTCACCCCTGTCCTAGGTCACACTCACCCTGTCTTTGATCCTACTCACCCTGTCCTAGGTCACACTCACCCTGTCCTAGGTCACACTCACCCTGTCCTAGGTCACACTCACCCTGTCCTAGGTCACACTCACCCTGTCCTAGGTCACACTCACCCTGTCCTAGGTCACACTCACCCTGTCCTAGGTCACACGCACCCTGTCCTAGGTCACAGTCACCCTGTCCTAGGTCACACTCACCCTGTCCTAGGTCACACTAACCCTGTCCTAGGTCACACTAACCCTGTCTTAGGTCACACTCACCCTGTCCTAGGTCACACTCACCCTGTCTTTGATCCTACTCACCCTGTCCTAGGTCACACTCACCCTGTCCTAGGTCACACTCACCCTGTCCTAGGTCACACTCACCCTGTCCTAGGTCACACTCACCCTGTCCTAGGTCACACGCACCCTGTCCTAGGTCACAGTCACCCTGTCCTAGGTCACACTCACCCTGTCCTAGGTCACACTAACCCTGTCCTAGGTCACACTAACCCTGTCCTAGGTCACAGTCACCCCTGTCCTAGGTCACACTCTCCCTGTCCTAGGTCACACTAACCCTGTTCTAGGTCAGACTAACCCTGTCCTAGGTCACACTAACCCTGTCCTAGGTCACACTCGCCCCTGTCCTAGGTCAGACTAACCCTGTCCTAGGTCACACTAACCCTGTCCTAGGTCACACTCGCCCCTGTCCTAGGTCACACTCTCCCTGTCCTAGGTCAGACTAACCCTGTCCTAGGTCAGACTAACCCTGTCCTAGGTCACACTAACCCTGTCCTAGGTCACACTAACCCTGTCCTAGGTCACACTCGCCCCTGTCCTAGGTCAGACTAACCCTGTCCTAGGTCACACTAACCCTGTCCTAGGTCACACTCGCCCCTGTCCTAGGTCAGACTAACCCTGTCCTAGGTCACACTCGCCCCTGTCCTAGGTCACACTCTCCCTGTCCTAGGTCACACTAACCCTGTCCTAGGTCACACTCACCCCTGTCCTAGGTCAGACTAACCCTGTCCTAGGTCACACTAACCCTGTACTAGGTCACACTCTCCCTGTCCTAGGTCAGACTAACCCTGTCCTAGGTCACACTAACCCTGTCGTAGGTCAGACTAACCCTGTCGTAGGTCTCACTAACCTGTCCTAGGTCACACTAACCCTGTCGTAGGTCACACTAACCCTGTCCTAGGTCACACTAACCTGTCCTAGGTCACACTAACCCTGTCCTAGGTCACACTAACCCTGTCCTAGGTCACACTAACCTGTCCTAGGTCACACTAACCCTGTCCTAGGTCACACTAACCCTGTCCTAGGTCACACTAACCCTGTCCTAGGTAACAGTCACATTAATCTAGACAATATTCACACGCAGCTGGCCACACGTCTCAGCCCTCAGACCACAGAGGCTCGGTCGCCTACATTATCTCCTCTTACAACCTACATGGATTTCTGTGGCCAGATTGCACTCCATTCCTGCGTTAGTGCCTGGACAATATATCGGTATTGTCGGCGTTGTTTGAGTGCTTGAGGAAACATATATCGCTTAGGGTTGAGGGTTGTTAATGTGAATGGTGAAAGGTGAATGGTTAAGAGAATATCGGGTTTCCTGTTGTTTGTGAAGCAAGAGTGCCAGTGGTGGACTATATGGGGTTGGGGAAATCGGTTTTGTAATAGTGCAGGGATGTTGAGGATGAAGGGAGTTAGGGTATCGATATGTGGTTATTTTGTGAGTGTTGGAGATATGGTCAAAGGGAGATTGTTAACGCGCTCTGTGTGGTCAAGGTTTGGGAGATAAAGTTGTTTTAGTGAAGCCTCTTAAGATGTTAATGGGCTTTAATGTTACATTGGAATGTAAGCCTGAAGCACAGAAGAGGACTAAGATCGCTTTTAGAATATTCCCATCCTTTTCTTGATACATATTATCCTCCTTGAGATAGGTTTCTTTTGTGATCATCTCATTAATATCTCATTCAACCATTACAAGCATATCAGCTTAGTTTTAATTTAATCTTGCCTTTATTTTATTTTATTTCCTTGTGGCTCCAGAGTCAATTGAATGCCATTATACCAGAGACTTCAGAATGTCCTTGAAAACTCTTTTCCTAAATTATCTTGTTTGTTATTTATTAACACATTAGGTACATCTGCATTTGTGCAGCTACCCTAGACTATATGAAGTGGAGTACAGTGTGTCAAAAAAGCTAACTAGGATATGCTAAAAATCCCCATCACACAAGATGGTTAGTCATACAGAGACATGTGATAGGCAGTATGCACTGGCAGACTCCAGATGCATTTTGAGAATATCATCAACACAAGAGTGAATAAGGTAGCAGTGGTAATAAAAGTCCCCATCTCACAGGATGGTTAGTCATACAGGGCCATATGTTTAGTAGCCTGCACTGGAATATTTTAGGTACACTGTGAGGATATCTTCAAGAATACGATAGGGAATAAAGTAATTGCAAAGTTCCAGCTATCATGCCAACAGGTCTGAAAGGTCTAATAACTGGGCATTCGGTGATGTAGTGTGGGAGATCATGCTGCAGTTCCTGCTCACAGAGTTTGCACCTGGAGTGCTCAGGATTGGGAGATCCGTCACCTGTAGCCACCTGTCACAGGTAACGGTAACCCAACCTGTCCTAGGTTGGGTAACCCAACCTGATCCTTGCAACCACTGTGTCGCACAGTCTGGTGGACGTTATGTGCTGCCCATAGATATAAGTTTTAGATCAGAACAATTCATAGCTTTTATACTAGTACTTTCAAGTCATTGAGAGTCAGTAGTTTCTTTCCTATCAGACCTGAGTAATGTTTTTAATTACTTAGTATTAAATTAATATTAGAATTATTAGTATTAGAATTAATTAGTAATTAATGTGAAACCTAAATTATCAATACACACACACTTCTTCATGGTCATAATGACAAGAATCGCTAGTGGAAGATAGAGGTAGTAAGCATTTCTGTGTGGAATCTGTGCACGGTGTGGTGTAGAGAGATCATAACACGAGAAGAGGTTAAGAGTAAAGAGAAACTTCGTAGCTTCATCTTTCTGAATTAGAGAAGGACTGAGGTAGAGACTGAGTTGAGTCACAAAGTGGAGTTAAGTTTCAGTGAGAGGTTAAGATGGAATTGAAGGATTGTGAGAGAGAGAAAGATGGTCGAGTGCTAGATAGATAGATATTTTTACATAATCTTAATTAAAGGTACAGCAAAGGACCTATTAAGAAAAGGAACGACAGAAAATATAAAAGAATTCAATGCACTAAACTCAATTAATTAGGAGGGTTGCTTAGGTTAGTATGTTTATGATTAGGAAAGGACGTTGTATTTTTGACGGGGAGGCAAATCTAGAGAACGAGCTTAGTAAAGTGGAGCAGAGATTAAGACACGACTTAATAACTAGGGGACTAAATGAAAAATGTGTCTTTTAAAAATAAAATTCAATCAAATAGACAAAGATCTGGTCGAGCACTACACTCCTCAGTCAGATTTGGGTCCCACATGTACCCAACAGCAGGTCAAGGAAACACTTTTTCAAAGGTGCCAGGTGGTAAAGAGAGTAATGTGAAACCCAAAGATGATCTCACCAGTAATAAGCCTCACCCAGAGTTGAAACAGTGTTCCTACTGCCATAGGAAGGGTCATGTTGTTAAGAGTTGTTGGTTTCTCCACCCAGAAAAGAGGCCTATGGCACTCACAGTGTGTGAAGGGAGGAAAACCAAATGGGGAAAAAAGCACTTGCTATAAATCATTTTTGAGAGTTTATATCAAATGGAAAATTGCAGTGTACAAATGGTTTGTGGCATGATGTTAAAATTTTGAGGGATACAGGGGCATCCCTATCTTTACGATTAGAGAGTGTTTTACACTATATACAGCCTACAGAGACTGGGAAAGGTAATGATTATACAGGGAATCACTGGAGATTTCCAGACTGTACACTTGAAGGGAGTAAATCATGACGGTGATTTTATTAAAGGCAAAAGTTTAGTAGGTGTTAGTCCTAAATTACCAGCTGCTGGCATTGATCTAATTTTGGGGAATGATCTTGCTGGTAATCGAGTTAAAAGAGATGACCACCCAATAATGCTAACTAAGCCAGAGGTGATTAGGGCATGGACAGACTCTGAGGACAAGGTAATGTACCCAGCATGTGCCGTGACCCAGTCAAAATCAGAGTCTCAAATATCACTAACTTATAATAATGTAAGTCAGGAGATAAAATTAGAGGTTAACAAATCAAATAGTGAAGTGGATCTTTGTGACACTTTTATGGCCAAGTTGGAAGAAGCAGATGGGAACAGGATGGGGAGCACCTCCACCAAACCACCTAGGAAAAGGGGTAGGGGAGAGTGTAGTCCAGTTACCACATCTGGCTCTTCAGACTTGAGATAAAATCTAATTTTATTCATCAGGAAAGGACTGATCCTACGTTGACTGACTTGCATAATAAGGCAGTAACTGAACTAGAAGCAGAATCGGAGGTTATGACTTATTACTACACTAAAGAGGTGTTGATGCAGAAGTGGAGACCTAGGAGCTCACCTGTGTCACACACTTGGGAGGTAGTTAATCAAGTAGTCCTACCGAGGGGTTATAGAGAAAAGGTGCTAAGTGTAGCCCATGATTCAATAATGGGCGGTCATCGGGGTATTGCTAAAACATTTAATAAAATAAGCAAGTATTTTAACTGGCCTGGATTAAAGAAAGATGTCATCCAGTATTGTAATGAATGTCCAGTATGTGTAAAAACTGGCAAACTAAACCAGAGAATACCAAAAGCCCCTTTACAGCCAATTGTGGTGGCTGAGGAACCCTTTCCCCATATAATAGTTGATGTAGTAGGCCCATTGTCTAGCACCAGGAGTGGTAATATGTATATCATCACCGTGATGTGTCAGATTACACGTTTTCCTGAGGCATTCCCTGTGAGAAATGCTACAACGAAAGTGGTAGTAAGGCACATAATGAAATTTTGTACTATTTTTGGTTTACCAAAAGTAATACAGACATAATGCGGCTAATTTCACTTTCAAAGGGTTTCAGCAGTTTTGTGGGGAGTTTGGCATGCTCCATACGACATCCACTACTTACCATCCTGAGAGCCAAGGTGCTTTGGAAAGAATACAGCAAACCCTTAAACAAATGCTGAGAACCAGTTGCATGGAAACTTGCAGAGTCAGGGATGATGGTCTTCCACTGATGCTCATGGCATTTAGGGATACTTATCAGGAGTCCCTGGGGTGTTCACCCAACTCATTAGTCTTTGGCCATGAGGTGAGAGATCCACTAACCATCTTAAGAGATAAGTTAGTCGGAAGTCCGAAGAGTGTTCAGGCAAACTATATTGATAACTTACAACAAAAGTTGTAAGGCTATAGTCTTAATTCATTTTAAAGAAGCTAAAAGAAAAATGAAGGCACAATATGATAAAAAGACAAAGCAACGACATTTTGAGGCAGGTGATAAAGTGGTGGTATTAATGGCACGACAGGGACCAATATTGTTGTATAGGTTCCAAGGTCCTTATACAGTGATGAAGAAACTCAGTCCCACCAATTATTTAATCCAGACATATGATCTCAAGAGAAAGGAAAGAGTAGTGCATGTGAATAGGATGAAACTAACACAGAATTGAATTGAAATTGAAATAAGTTTATTGAGGTAAAATACTCACAAAGGGATGAGGTAGCTCAAGCTATTCTCACCCCGTTCAGTACAACGTGTTCATACATATATAGACACACATCACAAACAATAAACATCTTGCTGAACATTCTGAGAGATAAACATATACAATTCCTCCTCTATACAAGTAGTATGGTATCAGACGTACACTAACACGAAAGGCAACGACCAATACCAACCAGATGCTTAGTGTAGCCTATGTAGATGAGAATAATAGGGAATGTGATTTTAATAATGTCTCTAATGCTTATGTACCTTATTTTAGCAATGGGGAGTGGTTGGCTAATGTCCAGAAGTTGGTGGAACATTTATCATCAGAGCAGAAGCACGACTTGAGGCAGTTGTTGACTTCTCATGCAGACATCTTTGGCGATATTCCCACCCAAGCTACAATTATTCACCATGACATCGAGATGACAGACAACCAATCAGTCAAGTCACACCCATATAGAGTCACTCCTGCAATGTTGAATTTCATACGTAAAGAAGTTGACTACATGCTTCAACATGGATTGGTGAGACCTAGCAGCAGCAGTTGGAGTAGTCCTTGTATTTTGGTTCCAAAGAAGGACGGAACTCACAGGTTGGTCATTGACTACCATACACTAAATGTAATGACTGTTGATAATAACTTTCCAGTGCCTAGATTAGAAGATTGCAGAGATAGTGTTGATAAAGCCAAGTTTGTAACCAAAGTAGATTTGTCAAAAGGGTACTGGCCAATTTCTGTAACATCAAGATCACGAGAGATGAGTGCATTTGTAACTGCAGATGGGTTGTACGAATTCGCTGCATTGACTTTTGATCATTTGCCCTAGCAACTTTCCAGCGCCTTATGAACTTAGTGTTAAAAAACATACAACAATGTAGAGGTTACTCTGATGATATTGTAATTTATCAAAGTAATTGATAGGACTATATGAAAGGTTTAGCTCAACTATTAAAATGCTTAAATGATGCTTATTTAACTGTAAACTTGCACAAATGTACTTTTGCTAGAGCTAGTATTTCTTACTTAGGATATGAAGTGGAAAATGGGAAGGTGTTAACACTCAAAAATAAAATAAATGTTATATTAGAGTATCCAGTGTTGACTAGCAAGAAGGAGGTACAAAGATATCAAGGAATGTGTGCTTATTAAAGGAAGTTCTGTGAAAAAATTGCAGCAATTGCAGCTCCTTTGACAAACTTGCTATGTAAAAATATAAGGTTTAGATGGTCTCAGGAATGTCAGGATGCATTTGCTATATTAAAAGGAATGTTGTCATCTGGTCCAGTGTTAGCTACTCCTGACTACTCTAAGCAATTCAAACAATATATAGATGCTTCGGATTGAGGTGATAGTTATGTACTAATTTAAGAGGATGATGAGGGTATTAATCATCCAATACACTATTATTCTAAAAGGTTTACCAAATGTCAACAGAATTACTCCACAGTAGAGAAAGAGGCTTTGTCATTATTACTATCTGTTAAAAAATTTGACACTTATGTATAAGTCAATACTGTTGAAGTGTTTACTGACCACAACCGCTTAATATTTATTGCTAGCATGAAGAATTCCAATCAGAGATTATTAAGGTGGTCTTTACTGTTGCAAGAATACAATCTGGTCATCAATCCAGGAAAATTATATATAGTAGCAGATGAACTTTCTAGATTGCCAAACCTGGGGTGACTTAGGGTTGTACTACTGCACAGAGATGTATATATTATTGTGTATCTATTGTTTATTATATATCATTTACTGTTTCTTTACAATTACTATGAAATCTGTTTGAGGTGTTAATTTTATATGAAAAAAAAATGTGAAAATCATTTATGAATTTCTCATTTTTTTTCTCCATAGCTCAGGAGGGGTGTTACGAACATTACCTCCTGTGGAGGTCAGTTTCAATTATAAAATGTTGGTGGACACAGTGGAGAATATTTATTAGAATAAATCTACAGCTGATATCTGGGAGGCCGGAAGTTACCAGTAATACTCCGCCCAGCAAAGTAGTACCTTCTCAGCTGGAGATTGTCAGGAATAATGTGAACTGGAATAGCCTAACTATGTGAGGGAAAGATGAACTCAATCTAAAAGCATGCATGGGGAATATGGTAAATAAAGTCAATAAAGAGTTTGATTGCAAATGTAAAGAATAGAATATTAATTAAGGGGCGAAGACGCAAGAGAGGAGGACGCCATCTTGGCGTGAGGGGAGGTGGATACGTTGACGACCAGACCTTGCTATCGGGGGAATTTCCTCCGGCGGTACAGTCAGATAAGCCATCATTACTTGTTATCAGGGATGCAAGATATTGTAGAGTAGTTATGCAGACTTTGGATATGATTTATAAGAGAGTCCAGGTTTCCTAGAGGTGTAAATATATGTGTCATCAGTTGATAGCTGTGGTGGCTGTGTACATGGTTCCAGGTTTGGAACGGTAAGCCGTGGGGGTGGCCACAGCCACTTGAGGTCACTAATATATAGTGACCTTATGTTGTGAGGAAATCGCCTTGTTGAATGTATTTTTGTGTGACTTATGCATATAAATTTGTGTCTTTGTACTAGGCTTTGTACTCCAAAGGATACCTGATCAACCAGGCTGTGACTCATACGTCAGGCTGCGATCAGCCGCGTCCAACAGCCTGGTTGATCAGTCCGGCAACCAGGAGGCCTGGTCGACGACCGGGCCGGGGGGACACTAAGCCCCGGAAGCACCTCAAGGTAGGCTGTTTTCCTTACTTCTTGGTTTTCCACTAGGGTCAAGTAAAATCATATTTTTTCCCTAGACAAGATTTAAAGGTCCACCACCACCAAATTCTTGACAGGTCTCTATGACACGAAAACTATGACAACAAAATTATGACGCTATTAATGACAAAGATGAAACACAAACATGACAACACACACATAAAAACACACATGTGTTTGTGGAAAACATGTAGAAAAGATTCAAAGGTTTGCCACCAGACTAGTACCCGAACTGAGGTATATGAGCTACGAGGAGAGACTATGGGAATTAAACCTCACATCACTGGGAGACAGAAGAGTTTGGGGGAACATGATCACCACATACAAGATTCTCAAAGAGATTGGTAGGATAGATAAATACAGGCTATTTAACACCAGGGGCACATGCGCTAGGGAACTCAGGTGGAAATTGAGTGCCCAAATGAACCATAGAGACATTAGAAAGAATTTGTTCAGTGTCAGAGTAGTAGACAAATGGAATGCATTAGGCAGTGATATGGTGGAGGCTGACTCCATACTCAGTTTCAAATGCAGATATGATAGAGCAAATTAGGCTCAAGAATCTGTATATCAGTTGATTTACAGTTGAAAGGCGGGACCAAAGAGCCAGAGCTCTACCCCACAAGCACAAATAGGTGAGTACACTCACACATTAGTGTGAGAAGAGAAGCTAAGAAAAAATATGAAAATTATATAGCTAATAAAGCCAAGACCGAACCAAAGTTACTCCACAGTCACGTCAGAATGAAAACAACAGTGAAGGAACAGATGATGAAACCTAGAACGGGTGAGGACTGGTAAACAGAGAATGACAAAGAGGTGTGTGAAGAACATAACAAGAGGCTCCAGTAGGTCTTCACAATAGAACAAGGAGAGGGCACTGCGCTAGAAGAGCTGGCAGTAAACCAGGCGGCCATGGAAGGGTTTGAAATTACAATAGATGACGTCAAGAGGCATCTGTCGGATCAGGATGTGAGAAAGGCTGTTGGTCCAGACGGAATCTCACCATGGGTATTGAATGAGTGTGCAGGAGCACTTTACTTGCTACTCTCCATAGTGTATAGTAGGTCACTGGTGACGGGAGACCTACCAGAAATATGAAAGACGGCTAATGTAGTCCCAATATACAAAAAGGGTGACAGACAAGAGGCACTGAACAACAGGCCAGTGTCCTTAACATGTATACCATGCAATGTGATGGAGAAGATCGTGAGAAAAAATCTAGTGACACATCTGGAGAGAAGGGACTTTGTGACAACCCATCAACATGGGTTTAGGGAGGGTAAATCTTGCCTTACAGGCTTAATTGAATTCTGCAATCAGGCGATAAAGATTAAGCAAGAAAGAGAAGGATGGGCGGACTGCATTTTTTTGGACTGCCGGAAAGCCTTTGACACAGTTCAGCATAAAAGGCTGATACATAAGCTAGAGAATCAGGCAGGAGTAACTGGTAGGGCGCTCCAATGGATAAAGGAGTACCTAAACAATAAGAAACAGAGTTACAGTCATAGGTGAGACCTCAGATATGCGTGAAGTCACCAGTGGAGTACCACAGGGCTCTGTACTCGGACCTATCCTATTGCTGATATACGTGAATGATCTCCCACAGGACATAGACTCATTCCTCTCAATGTTTGCTGACGATGCCAAAATTATGAGAAGGATTAAGATAGAGGAGGACTGCTTGAGGCTTCAAGAAACCTCCAAAGATGAACTCCGGATGCTTGGGGCTAGCTTCACCAAATTTGCAAGGGGAATGGTCTGGGATACGGGATGGACCTAGTATCGTCGAAGTAGGCCTAAGGTAAAATTTCAAGGAAATATCATCTTGTAACCCAAGCACCAGTTGCGATTTATATTTTCTGAAATTAAACCTGGGGTGTAATTTTCGTAGAGTCTACATCGCATGATAATGAGTGACCAGAGACGTTGCAGCCAAATTAGCGTGTAACAACGATGAAGTTGACTTTGTCCTCATCTCTGCTGTCAAAACTATATTGATCCAAAGACTCAGGTCTGACAGGAAATAAATTACCGGCTCTCAACGTCCTGAAAGCATCAGTATGAAAAGCTATGTTTTGTTCAGATCTGAAACCTATATATATGGTCAGCACAAAACGTTCACCTAACTGTGCGACACAGTGGTTGCAGGGATCAGGTTGGGTTACCGTTACCTGTGGCAGGTGGCTACAGGTGATGGATCTCCCAATCCTGAGCTGTGAGCAGGAACACGTGGCATGATCTCCAACACTACATCACCGAATTCCCGGTTATTAGACCTTTCAGACCCGTTGGCATGAGGTACCTAGAGCTATGCAATTACTTTATTCACTCAGGTGTTTTTGAAAATATTCTCATATTGCACCCAAAATTTGCCAGTGCCGATTACTGAACATATAGCCCTGTATGACTAACCATCCTGCGAGATGGGGACTTTTAGTATCACTGCTACCTTATTCACTCTTGTAGTGATGATATCCTCATAATGCACCCAGAGTCTGCCTGTGCATACTACTTATCACATGCCTTTGTATGACTATCCATCCTGTGTGATGGGGATTTTTTAGCATCACGTAGCTCACGAAGATAGGAAGAGGGAAAAAGATATAGACAGAGGTACGTAGAGAGAGACATATAGAGATAGAAAATAGATAGCAGACATAGATGCAGATGCAGACATGCAGACATAGATATGCTGGTAATAAGAAAGGATTAGAATGCAGTTACCAACATCCCCAAAAATGTTTAAATATGCTTAGTAAAGGTGAGTGTCG